TGCTCTGAACAGTTCCTCCTTCGCTGCTGACGGTAATCCGAGCACGTCTTTGGCAGCTAAAGATGGTGTTTTGATTACCGTTGACACAGCTGATGACATTTCTCTTTGGCTGGAACAGTCTATCCACAAAAAGTCAGAAACTACAGAAGCGGCCTTACGTCGGATCGGAACACCTCCTCTGATCTTAGGAGGGCAGCAGAACGAGGCTGGAGGACTCACCCTGACGCCAGCAGATCACTGACTGGGTTCCAGGCACAGATAAAGACCTCCGACTCGTGGCCCCTCAAGACCATGGCCTTGTTCTGAGGGATCTCCACGTCTCCGTCCACCTCCATCAGGTCTGCGTGGTTGTCTGAGAAAACACAGAACACAGTCAGCTACGTCCAGTAATAATAATATAATATAACAAGAATAAAAAATGCAATTTGACCAAAACACAGCTCTCAGCTGGAGGCTCATGATGCAGCTGCACCTCCACCTACAGCCTCCTGCAGCCTCTCCTGTGAAGCTTTGAGGACGTGAACCTCTCGTTTCCACACAAGCTTTCTGTTTGTTACTACGCACCCCGTTGCAAGTGCAAGGAAACGCTCGTCTTCACAGACGCTGCATCAGTTTGTACCATCGGGTTTCATGGAGTAAGCACATGGAGCATCACCATGACAACAACAGCACCAACCATTCACAGTGAGGAGCTCCACCTGCCTCGTCTGGGGCCAGTTCAGTGACTTTAGTGGCTTAACTTTGCAAAGTTCTCCCCCAAATCTCATTACTTGTCTCGCTTTCTGTCTCTCTTTGCGTTCACTATTACCCTGAGGACTAGGAATGCCTCATCATGTCTGTGGAAGCTGGGCTTAATACATACATGTTGGAATGAAATCAATGCCAGAGTTAGACAGTCTGACAGATTATTAATAAACGAAGCCCAGCGTGGTGAATAAGGACGTTATTCCTGAATGTACTAAACAGCTGTTGGGTCCTTTTATTCTTTAGTTTTGTTCCCTGACTGAGCCCGATGGTTGTCCGTCATGTCTCCACTCTGTGGCTACAAACATGAAAGATCTGACTGTTGTTTCTGTACACGTTGTCCCACAATGCTCTCTACACAGTGAACTTATTGGTGTTAAAACCCGTGAACTGCTTCACGTTTACTCTGTTAGCATGTGCTAAAGCAGCTAAACTATCTACTTCATAGTCATAGTGGAGCAGCTGATTGGTCCAGGCTCTGGCGGCCACCGGCTGTGTTTCGATGTGAACTACAGATCAACTTGTTTTACTTCACGCCCGATAAAAGGCAGCTTCAGGTATCCGGCGATCACCTGTCCCGCCCGTGAACGCCTCACTCACTTGCTAAGGCGTGGGCTCCGTTCTCCTCCCCGTTGGCAGTATTCTCTCCGTTCTTGGCGTTGCCGGCGATGCTGCCCCCGGTGGCCGACGCCGGCGCTGAAGCTGCGGCCTGCTGCTGGGCCATTTTGTCCCGGTAGGCCTGCTGCCTCGTCTGGACCACGTCCGGCATCACCGCATCGATCAGGGACAGGGACTCGATGGGCCGGCCGTCGAATAACGTGCCGTCCTACGGAGGGAGAGACGCGACCGGTTAGACGGGAGCAGACGATTCTCTTTCTATATCTATCTTTGAAAAGACATATTTAAAAATGACCAACATCACACAACTTGTCAGAGCCAGAAACTATAAAAACAGACAGAGCTTCCAGATTTTCAACTTTACACTAATTCTTAAATGTGTGATGAGTGGTTCCTTCAGGAAACTTAAGCAAATCTGACCCTAAAGTCGTGACATTTATCTGTGATCTCATTGCAAAGCTGAACTGCAGGTTGTGTTTACGCAGAGCAGAGAGACAAATATGGAACAAAATTATGGATGTAAACAGTAAATATCTATATAACGTAGAGCCACCGGTACCACTGCAAACACTCACACTGTCAGGTTTTGTTGATTTTTGTAAAATAAGTCATTGCAGAAATTGTGGCTTTCTGACAATATAATTTAGTCACAACAGGCGGTCTTAAGTTTGCTCCGCTTGTAGCTCCGGTTGTGCCGTTTCCATGGAGCTCCAGGACTTTCTATAAATATAAAAGGAGCTCACGGTGGGTACAGATGTGACTACAGTAAACACCCAGGGGTTTGTTGGGAGCTCAGAGGGTTAAAACAGGGTTAATCCAGGACAGCAGATGTTACAGATGTAGGTATATTCTTTGGGGTTGTCCCATGTTGTTGTTTTCTCAGAAGGAGGTTCTAAAAAAGATCCACAAGCTCAAACAGCCAGAGTGTGTTGTTTAGGGGATAAAGCTTTCTGCCTGCAGCCAGGCTCAAAAAACAAAAAAAACAAAAAACAACTTCAAAGCCCAAAATAACAAAGACGAGAGTGTGTGTCCCACCTCATTGATGCTGACTTCAGCCTCCACGTACTGCAGGCCCTTCTGGATGATGCTGATGAGGGCAGCAGGGGGAACCAGAGCACCATTGATGTTGGACTGGCTGATGTGACTCTCTATACCAAAGGTAAACGCTGAGTGGGAGAACCCTGGAGAGGAGGAGGAGGAGGAGGAGAGAGGTGAGGACACAGAGTGTATTTTTACTTTCTCCCTCTGGAAGGCGATGACATACTGTACATCACAGCCGCTGTTGCTCCGCTTCGCTTCTAACACAAATTCCTGCGCCGTCATAAATCCGTCACTTTCACTGCAACTTCTTCTTTTTTTTTTTTTAAGATTGTTGAGCATTTCTCAACCGTCCAACAGAGTTTTTTTTTTGTTTCTGCCACTCAACACAGTCACCAGATAGCTGGACTGAATGTTCACAGTGTTTCTGTTCTCTGGTCACGATGCTAAAGAAACGATAGCTGTGGCGCTCTTTAAATGTTGTGGGAATTAAAACACATGTGACAAACAAATGGCGTCCAGATGATCGTGAACAACTATCAGTCTGCAACCGTCCATGAACATTTGATTAGTAAATGGACCATGACTTCAGTGGAATTCCTATTTTTAACTTACATTCACAAGAATGCCAAAGTTTAAATATATTCAAATTCATGCTACGCTAACCACTGAGTACAGGATGTGTGCGCTAAAAGCTAACAGTCTCTATTATCTGGCTTTTACGTACTGAAGATCAAAATATCAGCGACCAGATTTTTTTTCTCGCCATCTGTGTCGTACGGAGCAGATGAAGGTTATTTATTGTCCCACTAGTCTCTCACAGTCAGACCGTCCTGAACACTTTTCTATCATTCTGCTGGAGGAAGGGGAGAAAATAAAAAGCTCTGGTCTGTTTGCATTTATTCAAACCAATCACAGTCGTATTGAGCGGATTCTGCAGCAGCAGATTCTCCTGAAAACGACGTCCGACAAGTTATTTTGGTGGAACTTTAGCGGGCTGCTGTCATTAATTCATCCAGAACTTCAGCGTGTAGGTGCTGTTTACCGTAATAAAGGGGATTTTTGAAGATGGTTATAGACATAAACCCACAATCTACATCCTGTGAGTAAGCTGCTGGATTATTTTTGACTCATTTTCTGTCTGAAAAACACCAAACTGTGGAACCAAATCCGTCCCGATCGGCGCCTGATGTTGCTAGCAGTGTATTCTAACCTGGCATCTTTCCCATTTATGTGTGGATCTCTGAGTCATGCTTATGGAGGAGAGCAGCAGCACAGGACTGTGTCTAAAGGGGAGACTAGCGTGAGCTCCCCGCAGCTTTGGAGTTTGACTGAGAGTAAACACAGAAATTAGCCGTCTGGAGCAGCCATTTTGCTAACCGCATTAAGGATCTCCATCTGGAGGAACCTGCCAGATGACATGATCACTGCTGCTTTGTTTACATGTGGTAAGCTTTCCATTTAGCGTGCAGAACGTCGACTTGTCGTAGCAGCTTCTCCTGAGCGTTCAGTCCTTCCAGTCGATGGAGGTGAAACACCGTCTTCCAGGATGTTCGGTCAAAGCTGCAGGTCCATTAGTTGTAGTTCCACGGATGGGATTCCTCTTATCCACGGACGCATCCCAGTCCGCCGCCAGCAGGTCCCACAGTTTGCAGCAGAACGGCCAGCGCAGGAAAACCACCAGTTTCCCGACGAGTGCTGTCCTCCTGGATGCCTCCATCAGGTCTGCGGACTCCCAGGAAACACAGCCAACCATCGAAACCGAAACAAGCTGCAGCCGTCCTCGTAGCTGTCCTGTGTGAGTGTGAGGCCAGCGTCACCAGGTGGACATCACTGTGAGGTACGTCCACTCCAGAAGGGTTCATTTCTGTGTTTACCTTCAGACCGATCAGCCGTCACTCTCCTCTCTTTATTGTGAGGTAATAAAAGCGTGTTCAGCAGACAGACTGTACTGTTTGTCCTGAGCTATACACTCGTGTTTATGGTGTCAGTCTCCTTAAACAACTCTAGATTCTGCCTTTTATGCAACAAGCAGGCTGTGTTGTGTTCACACGGCCTCCGAGTCGACCTGTCAGACGGGTCAAGTGGTGCTGAATGGACCCGCTTTATGTCACATACAAAAAAACGACATCGATTTGTCCATGAATACAAATGACACATAGAAATGACAACAACAGAATCTGAAAAGAAATCATTCAACAATTAAAAGCGTCTCCAGTGGAGACGGTGAAGGATGAGAGCGTGTTACCTGACTCCTGTAGGTATCTGTAGACCAGGAAGTTGACCTCATCACTGCTAATGCTCATCTTTACTCCTGTTACACCATGAGGTCAGCACGCACACACCGAGCCTGGAGAACAGAGGAAGCTTCGTCAGTGGCGCTAAACACAACACACACAACACATGATGCAGTTTTTCTTCATCAGACTGTGACGCCTGCTGACGTGGCGCACACCAAAGTCTGCTCTGGTTTCGGGTTGACTGGGTGGTTTCTGCTCAGACAAATCTAGCGGGTCTTCATTTCTGCGCCCTTGTGTGGTTTGCAGTCACACGTGAGAGCAGGTAGAAGAGGAGGCGGCTTCTCGCGGTCTTCACAAACAGACAGAAGGAGCAGCTGGTGGACAGTTATCCAGCGCTCGGCTCCACTGGTGTTCAAACAAAGAGCATCACCTCTTAAACTTGTAACCGTCCTCCCACATAACCTCAGGAAACGCTGATTTGTTTTTTTACAGACATGCGTAGGTGATGATGTAACGCTGATCAGCTGTTTCTGTGTCAGGATGGTTCACTTTTCACTTTGTTTTCCATTTAAAATCATAAATCGAAGCAACTTCAGACGACGTTTCTGCCTTTAATGTTGTGTTTAGGCTGCAAATGAACATTTAAATACTATATTTATTACTTTAAAGCTCTGGTGGTAAATATCTTGTTTACATTCCTGCTAATGATGCTCAACTTCCCCTACAAGATGAAGAAATGTGAAGTTATTCTTTCTCCAAATACCGTCGTAGCTCCCTTTCACACCTCCATCTAAATAAAGAAAGAAATACGCTGCTACAGGTGGGACAGCAATCAGAACGTGATCGGATTGGACAGACTCGTGCAGCATTTGGACTCCAGCCAGCGAACATAAAATCTGTCTAACAAGTAGGAAAGTCAACAGCTCTGCGTTCCACCTGGAGAAAGTCGGGGTGTAACCTTCAGACGTGCCGTTCTCAATACGTGAGACTCAGAACCTTCAGTAGGAGATGAGACTTCCTCTGTCCGGGGCACCACGTGGTCCAAATGCTCTCCAGCACGAGCTCCACATCTCCACACCGGTTGTTGTCTATCAGCTACGGCGCCTGAGCAAACCGGTGTGGCCTGAACTCACGCAACACATTTAAGTTCTGCAAAACTCAGAATGTCGCTGTGACTCCAAGACTGAGATTCTAACCGAGCTGTGATGTTTGTGGGTTCCCAGCTGAGAAACACGTTAGCATGAAGCACTCGAGCCTCCCCCAGCAGGACCACGTGCCCCGCCACAGTGAAAACACTGCTCAGGTCCTGCTCAAGACAGAGTCCAAGGTGTTGACTCGGTCTCCAGATCCCCAAGATCCTAATCTGATCCAAACTCTCAGGACCCCCCTGCCAACGTCCTGGAGCCGGACACCACAGAACCTACAGAGCATTAGGCAGCTAGTTTTAATGCTGTGGCTGATTTTGTGTATTTTATTTCCAGGTATAAATGCGGAGGTGGTAAAATAAGACGCCATTAACCACAATCCAGATACTAATCACGTATTAATGTGTGAAAATGGAATCCTGGTTGATTATTCAGACTCAGCTGGAACCAAATGCAACAAGATTCATGGAGCATGAGCAGTTCGTCTCGCAGCGTCTCCTCAACAGCAACACATCGATCAACACCGGGTGAGTTAACGTTACCCACAGGTTTATATACTAGTCAAGCAGATTTAAAGAAAACTTTAGAAATGTCACAAAAGAAAGACCAACAGTAGAAGAAGAAACAGGCAAAACTCTGTCCATCTATGACAGAAACATGGAAAAGGTGTTCCCATCTGCCATGACGTTTGTGGGAATTAGTCTTTTACAGAGTTTTGTGAGGCTCCTGTAAACTACTTTGCGTACCGATCGACTACAAGACGCTCAAATGCAAAACACGAGGAGGAAGGAAATCAGCATTGTCGCCTCCTGCCGCCCGGGCGCATGGCGGGGGTCTCGATCCGACGCCGCTTCTGTCTGCGAGCTGCAACTTTAACAACAACTGTCGGGGAGCCAGAGAGCAGATTCCAAACAAGGCCCGGCTCAAAGCCCGCTTCCCCTGAGAATAATCAGCCGAGTAAAGCTCAGCGTGTGCAGCCCCTCTCCCAGGAGGAGGAGGCTCCGTGTGCATTTAGTGGCATTTAAGTGGATGAAACGCTGCCTCCTGGGTACTGTGAGCACAAGGTTACGGTTCTCTTCTCAGGATGTCGGATGTTCGTCGCCCGGAAGCGGCTGAACGTCCAACATGACCCGCGGCCGTAACGCTGCAGAACCCAGGGAGGGGCGGCGGGATCGGACTGAGACCGGAGACCAGGATCAGTAAACTGTAGAATCTCACACGGCGATGCTATCAGCTTTGCACAGGTAATTAGAAGAGAAGATTAATTAATGTTTAATGATAACCTAATAAACCGGTCACAGGATACACGCTGCACGCGGCGCTGTGTGAACTCAGAGTGTCTGGTTCTGCTCATCCAGCGTACAACAACAACAACAACAAGACTCAGAGCCGGTTGCATCACTTCCACAGGAGACTCTGTGGAGCAGGTTGGGGATCTGTTCTGACCCGGGAGACGGCAGCAGCAGAAGAAGAGCTGGTGTTGTTTTCGGCCATGTTGGCCCAGTGACTCTTATCTGTGCCTGGACCCTCCGTCTCCACCGAGAGACGATCATGTTCTCCACGGAGACGACCGTCGGCAGGCAGATTGTTCTGAGGGGCAGAGATGCAGCAGCAGCAGGTGGACAAAATAACAGAAACCACCTCCTGCAGAGAAGAATCCCATCTAACTTTAGCCCAGTTACAGAGGCAGCAGCGTTTTGTCATGTTGAAACGAGGAGCTGCTGCTGCTGCCCCATGACTCCCAGCACTGCAGACACACTGCACTGAATTAGGCCTATTATTAAATCATAAGCAGCTGTCGGGCTGCTTTCACTTCCACTTTACAACAGCAGCATACTGCAAACATTACATTCAGCTGCCTACCAACTTTTCAGAACATGCCACGCCCCTGCACTTTGTGGCCAGCCTGTGTTTACGACATGATGTATGAAAATACCACAGCGGGGCAAAAATAAAGTGCTCAGAGCAGGGTGGTTTCAAGACATGTGACCGGCTCCAACACGGACCTTCAGGATCACATCTGACCGATATCTGTGGGCCGATATCTGCCTGGCACGGATATATCCACATACACGACGTCTGATATGAAAACTTTCTTACAGAGCAGGACGCAGAATAAGATGCTTGGGGCTATTTACCGAGCTGGTAAATAACCCCAAGCATCTTATTCTGCGTCCTGCCCAATCCCAATGAGATTTCAAACAGCCCAAGTTGTTGTTTGTGGTTAGTTTTGAATTAGCAAATTCTCACACGCTGAACTAAGATGATGAACATGGTTATGTTCTCTTTTTTGGGGGGCATTTTGGTGCGATTTCTCAAAGTGACATGCAGCAAAGATCTAGCTGGCAGACGGAAAGTCTGGCTCATTGACTGCAAGTGATTCATGCATTGTCCATTGTTTATAATACTCTGTCTGCAGCACATGTAGCAGAGCACTGACTGAGCAGATGGTGGTGTGTTTAGGAAAAGCTGCCAACTAGTTTGAGGAATAACTTGATGGAAACAATGACCTTATCATTTTTAAATTATCAATATTACTCCAACATATATGTGTAACTATAGAAAATCAGAATTTTGGCGCTGTAATATTAGGCACACATATTGGAAGCAACCATTCAGGAAATGATGCAACACAACACAGAACAGCAACAAACGACAGCATTAAATATCCACAGAGCTGAATCAACATGGACCCAAACAACACACTGATGTAACACCAAACACACCTCATCATGTGTTAGTTCTCAGAATAAAACAACTCCGGATCAACAGGAGAACGTCTTGTTATTTTCAGGTGCTGCATCAGAAAGCTAAAAACTCTCCACGCTCACTCGAGGAGGTTTTTGACTTGACAGGAGCTGCTGGGAGACAGAAACACCTTTTGTGACTAAGTTCAGACGTAGTGAACGTTTAACTCGTGACAGACCGGCTGTGTTTACATCGCTGTGGCTTCTGACAAACGGCACTGAAACCGACACAAACAGTAAAACAGCAACTGAGCTTGACGCCGTATCACCACTGAAACAGCAACTATTCCTTCTACTGCAAAAATAAGACAAGAAGACTTTTTAAAACATCCCTGTGGTAAACTGTTAACAAGGTAGAAAATGATCAGGTGACAACACGAGGTGGCGAGTCCTCATTGTACCTGACAGACGGTCTCACTCTGCGTCTAGTCCTGTATCCATCTATCTCCATCCCTCTATCTATTAGGCTCCTCGGTTAACCAGCTCCGAGGTGCAGAGGATCGATGCTCGGTGCGTCTGCAGCGTATTACCGGCATAAATCACCCGATGCAGCGTACAATTATGTGCCTTAATTCAAAACAGCTGCTTCCACGCCGACATCGCCTTAAAACAACAGCAGCACAGCTAATTAGCGGCAACATCATCTAAAAGCTTAATTTCACCAAGTTGCCTGGTCTGGGATTCGGCCTCAGGACCGTCACTGGTGGGCCTTTAAAAGTTCTGATGGTGGATTTGTTTGGACGGTGAAGATGTCAGGGTTCAATATGAGAGAGGTGGAGATCAGCATAGAGGCGCTAAACAAGCAAACTGTCAAATGAAGATTATTTCTAAGAAGGATCCGGCGTCATGCAAAGACGACTCCTCAAAACCAGGAAAACACTCAAAATTATTTTCTCCTGACTGAGAATTTTGTTGAAAGAAAACCAAACAATGATCTCTTTGTTAGCACTGTTTCTGCTACCAGTTGAGCTAATTGTGCCCCGACCAGACGGAGAACCAACCAGGTTCTGTAAAACAGCAAAAATAAAACCTGCCTCAGCTGCTGGTCCTGGAGCCGTCAGCTGAAACCAACAGTGGCGTCGACAGAGTCTGGACTTTCTGGCTGAACTGCAGGCTGTGTTTATACAAACACATTAAAAATCCAAGTGGTACAATATCTACGTTATGTGCAGCCATGTTTTTATCCAGTAGGTGGTGACATCTGTGGACATTTGGAAA